ATTCCTGCTCAGATCCGTGACACTCCAACCGTGGCATCAACCTGCTTCCCTTCCTCGCCGGAGCCCTCTGGTTCTTCTGTTCCTTGAGCACATTTCCACCCTCTGCTCCCTATGGTCTCCTATCCCTTACCCTGTCTCCAGCCCTGTCCTCAGTTGTGGCTCTCACTTTTAATTCCTCCTTTCCCCAGGACCACGTCCTCCTCAGCTCACTCCTCCTCCCAAAATGTTAACATCACTCCTAATTCTGAGAAATATCAAAACCCATCACCCACAAAGGCACAAGACAACAAGAACCAACACCTTTCCCACTTGGCTATTTTTACTCCCTGTACTTGATTATGCAGAAAGCTGGACTCCAGACTGTTTCTCTGACCTGCCTGAAAACCATCACAATAGTTTTACAGAAACTTGGTCATACTGAGTATTAGTTTTGCTCTTTTACCTGTTACTGATAAATTAGGAACCAAAGTTGCTTAACACTCAGGAAAACTCCCAGGGAATTAGGTTCCTGAGGATTTTACCTGGCTGTGGTAGGTAAAACCTTTTATTTAGTGGAAGTGTTATGAAAAAAAATGCAGTGGCAAATCTGACTTTGAATTTACCCATGTTTGCTACCTTTTTTGGAATATACTGAAAGATATTTTTAAAATAAACTTTTCTTTGTCTTTTTTCCATTATTGTACCAAATCAACCCTGACTTGAAAACGACTACTGGAAATTGTGGGTCAAATTTTGCTTCACTAAGACTGAAGTCAATGATAATCCTTACCCCAAATTCAAGTGCCACTGAATATATGTGCCCCTTTTATCATATCTGCTGGAAGTCCTTCTTGACCCTTTTGCCCTCTGTATGATGGTTTATTATTGTAAATAATAACTGAACTGCCAACTCCAACTTTTAAGGAAAAAGCACTAAATATTTGATACCCATTTGTGCTTTTTCACTTGCACACTCATGTTCTCCTCCTCCTTCACACGTTCAGGTAATTGCTTCATTAAAGTACACAGCTGAAGTTCGGTATCTATAAAACTGGTCAGTCTAATTTAGTGAGTGCTGCTAGGGGCTACCTGACTGTCACCTACTAGCGCAGGAGCAGAGAACGCTCATGTCCCAGGAAGCCTGGGAGGGAACCCTTTGCAGCAGACGTGAACCCAGGAAATCTCCCCCTGCTTCCTGAGCAGCAAAAAAAAAGGTCAAAAAAGCACCAGGTCGCTGCATGGCCCAGTGAGCCCATGGAAAAGCTGCCCACGCCGCGGAGCTGCACAGGGCAAAGCTGCCTCGCTGCTGGGCAGAACCAGATGCCAGGCACCCCAGGCACCCGGGCTTTCAGCCAGCGACGGCCTCATGCACGGGCTTTGCCTGCTGCCAACACATGCAAGTGCCTGACGTGCAGAGCAATCACCAGCCTCCCTGGCGGCTCCTCGGGGAGCGGCTCACGCGAGTTAGGTGCGCCGGCAGCCCAGCTAAGCACAAGCAACGGCCCACGCGTTACGCTGAGGTCGAGCATCTCCTGGTCATTAGAAAGCCGGATGCGATGCCAATTTAAGCTACTCTCATATTTCTGAGGTTATTCTTATTATTCTTTAGCATGCAGAGGACAGTTAACCCGCACCTTCCCTAGCGGCTGCTGTTCCCGCCGTGCGGAACATCCCACCCCTCACGGTGTGAGCTCCATGGCACTGACCTGGGACGCTGCCGTGGTGGTGGGACCTTCCTTACCACTCCCCGCTGCGCTCTCCACCACGGCTGGGGCTTCTGCCTTCGGAGCACTCGCTTCCGGAGAAACAGGAGGCCCTACTTTCCCCAGCCCGCTCGCGGGGGTCGAGCTCGGGCTGCTTGATTGCCGCGACTGAGCCTTATACCAGGTAGGATAAAACAAGGGATCGGCGGTTTCTGCTGTGGATGACACAGGACTGTCAGACTCTGCGGTCTGCTGAGAGCCACTTGGTGCCACAACCTCGTCCTTAGGTGGGACCGATAAAGAGAAGAAGAAGAAGAAGAAGCAGAGGGCACCATGTTACCTTCCTGCAGAAGCCATGTTTCTCTGCATGCCGTGTTTGTTAGATCTCACTGCAAGGAACATATTTGCTCTAGTGGAGGGTCCAAAAGAAGTATAATCAAAGTGCAGAGTAAAGGCATCTATCATTTCAATAACACAAGCATAAGAAAAGAAAATAAGTTACTAACAAAGAGGAGGATAGAATTAGCTGGGAAGGGGACACAGAATGAGGAAGGAGTGAGAAAGTGGTCCCTTAATGCATTTATACACTTTGTGCCTCCTTTTAATCCCATTTCTAACTGAGGAATAACTCCATGAGAGTTGGCTGAGCCCTACTGCGGTAAAAACTGACTGAGGAGGAGGAGGAGGCTCTGTGTCTTAATGGTTTTGCCTAGTAACTGTCCAGTAATGGGATAAGGCTGCCTGCCAAATTAGAGACTCTTAGTTACGTACTTGATTTCAGCTCATACACAGATAAACACCCAGTTCAATCCTAAGAATATAATAAACCCTGCAAAAAAGCCTCAGGAACTGAGGTGTAGGTATCAGGCCTGGGAAGTCCTTTGAACGGCTTGCTGGGTTTTGGAATAGACTAAGAACAAGGCATCTGCCAATGACTCTGTTGATGTTGACAGTCACAATAAGGAGAATATGCAGCCACTGGAGAGAAACAGCTGCCCACCAGCCTCGCTGTCAGCGCAGCACCCCACTGCACGCTGCCGGGAGGAGAAGCAGCCGGCAGCAGGGCACCTCTCTGCTTGCACCGAGCTCCCAGGGCTCTCCCCGGCTGCTGTTCCGTTTTCCTTTCCTACACCAGAAGGCAGAAACTGCACTGTGAGCCCCCCACATGCTGCATTCTCCTCGTGCAGCCTGGCCAACTCGCAGAGGCATTTTGTGATTGCTGTAGCAGCATGTGCTTCCTTTTCCATGTTAGCCCTAAAAGTGACATTCCCTTAGGCAGGCTTGCTTATGTCTGCATCCTGCTTACATTGAAAACTACATCAACTCTGCTGCTCTAGTTAAACCAGTACAAATCTCTCAAATTACAAACTTTGGTTAAATCAATAAAACCTAATTTAAGAGCATCTTCACACACCCATGAGGTGCAAACTCACGTACGCTCTTAAACCAAAGCAAGAATGAGTCTAGACTATTCGTTTTTCCATGTGCCATGCAGGGAGCTTGCTATGGTCAAAGACTTATTACTTGTTTTCTTGTTTCCATACTGGTTTCTTTAAATATTGTAACAGCAGTCTTTACCCACTTGGCAGTTGCACTGGGTAAGCTGCATAAGAGGGCAACTTGCTAAGTTAGTTGTATCCATGGGCAGCTGGAGTAGCATACGAAGTAAGGGGTTTTTATGCATTTTAGACTATGCGGCAACTATTGTTTCGTGCTTTTGGCACTCCTTAAAAAAAAAAAAAGAAAGGAAAAAGTACTCTACTAAATTATTAAGAGATCTGACACCCCAAATCTATTTGCTGCTAGGTTCTAACACTGGTAGGTTTAAGGCAGTTTCCTCTTCTGTTTGGTGTGTGGTCTCCTAGATGATATCCCTAAGGACAACCAGACCAGAAGAAGGAAAATACTGTTTGCAGAAAGCAGATCAGAAGTGCAATCTAAAAATGGGTGGCGGAAGGCTCGCTGAGCCCAGCAGAGATGCCAAACTCTCATAGTGTAAATATTTTAACAATCATCTCATTTACAACAGCTAGTCCGAGCTAAATCATGTGATACACAGCAAGCAGAACATCCACTGTAACGTGTTTAAATCCCCAATTAAACCTCCTTTATTTATATATTATGTATCCCATATATACGTGTATATATATGTATTTATGTAACAGCGTGTTTCTGCCTACCAAGCAGTGCACGTGCC